ATATAAATATATATACTGTATCTGTGAAAGCAGATGTTTAATTTTTCCCACGGTTTTCTTGAGACAAGATATAATCATGTCATTTTCACAAAATAATGACGACTGTTTTCTCGAGTTAATGAGATAATTTCCTCCATTATCAGGAGATCTTTAATTGAATGCTCATAATTAGTTTCTCAGTGTTTAAACCTTGCCAAGAACAAAGCTGAAAATGTAAGATCGTGGAGAACCTGGCATTGATCAATCTATCAGACTTTACTTCTGTCGAGGGCTAACACAGGCTGAAATTACAGTTTGTTTGTTTTAGAGATAACTTTCATCATTAAAAGAGACGGCTGGCCCGTTCAAGCTTGAGTTTGTTTGTTGAAGTTATTTTTTGAAAATAAGGGGCAGAGATAAGATTTTTTTTCTTCACTCTGCAGTCTTTTCATTCACGTATGATTTATTTTTGTATTTTTCTGTAGATTACTTTGTTTTTCTGAATTAAATAAATTCTAGTGAATGTTGCTCGAAGATGTTACAGTGAGAAGATTATTATTGTTGCAGAAAGTACAATTACCAATGTTGCATTAAAGTAATGCTGTGGCGAGTTATATGTAAATAAAGAAACAATTAGCTCATCTAAGAGTAAAAAAACTTTTTCAAATAAGTCAACTATTTTTTATTCTTCATCAGTTCAAAAGGCTACCAACATCATCTGATTTGGATAGGTTCATGTCTGGTAAAAAAAAATTGATATGAAACGTGTTATTAATAAATCTTTGTCTTCATCAGGATACAGAAGACGGCAGCAGAACAGGGAGGAAGACGAGGTCATGACTTCTGAGTCAAGAGAGACTGAACTGTGAAGAGAAAACATTTCAAACCAACTTACTTTTTCTAAAGAGAGCCAAAAGAGCACCGACATGTGAATGTTTGATTTGCCACCTGAGGGCTCGTAACACAGCATGTGCACTAAACAGCCATAACATTATGACCACTGACAGGCAACAATTCTTATCAGAAATATTGGTCTGGATGGATGTGCAGCAGAACCGCCCACTCAGCACTGAATCCTACAAGAACAGTAAGTTCTGAAGGGYAGTGTGAAGCAAGACCACTCCACAGAGAGCAAACATCCTGGTACCAGTCACTACAGGACAACTCTGTGTGCTCTTTCTGACTCATCAGGACGATGAAGAAGGTATAACCAATAGAAGTGTAGTGGTCACCTYGGGGTGGAATAAACAGTTCCTGTCTTTGACCTTGGTCTCAGAAGATCTCCTTCAGAGAGACAGAACTCTGTTTATTTAAAGTCTTAACAGGTTTATTAAACAGTAAAGAGACATTTTCTTTTTCTTGWTCAGATAATAAACAGAATAATATTCTATTTAGTTATAATTTTATGAATGTATAAAAAAGAAAACACAAAAAGAGTGTTATTACAATGTATTGTGCTTTAATGCAAATCATTGCTAGAACTTTAACTGTGAAACCACAGTAATTAATTATAGATTTTGCTGTTGAAATATCTTAAATAAAACTCAGCGTTATGGTTAAGCTTTATTATGAAACCTTTTATAATTATTTTTGTCTGAATCATCATAATGAATGTTTTTAAATGAAATAATTCATTTTTAAGTMTTCAGTAAATCATTCTTTAAGTGTCTCACCASAGAACAGACTGTACAGATGTCAACAATGTTGTTAAGACACCGGGCAGTGCTTCACTTCCTCTTTTAAACTAACATCTGTGAGCTAACAACAGTCAGTCGTAAAGAGAACGCTCTTGAGCTTCAACGAGGAAGCAGCTGTAGCTCTCCGGAGAGAACCAGCATCTGGCTGAGGTTTGGCCCATTGAGTCAACGGGAGAACCTCTCAGCCTGGACCAGACCAACACTCGGTCACATCTATTATTTGAGCTTACCAAAGCTACACACAGAGCAACTTTTGTTTTGAAACTTCTGAGAGGAAGTATTGTATTTTTGAGACAGATACAGAGAAGAGCTTCATCTCTGATCTTTGATTGAAAGCAGCCCAGAAGACGCTGGAAAATAACASGCCTAGAAAGTGTCCGACTGGATGAGGCTCTGAGAGTTCTTCACCCAACTGGACGATCTTTCCTCCGACTTGAACCGCAGTGGGTGACTCATAATGGCTGCCAGTTACTGAGCGCGCCTGGTGTCTGGCTGGATCTGTTGAGAGACGTATGCCCTTTCTGGTCAAAATCCACATTTTTAAGGATAAAGTTAAAACTAACTAATCCTCTTCCRCCACCTTCTTTTCTCTTAAACATGCCCTGCCAAAACTTAAGAAAAATGCCACAAACAAATGGTTTATTAACATCTAAACCTAAAAGTTTGTCGTTAAAATTTTTTTATAGGAAATTAAGCTCACAAATATGTGTACTGTAGTGATTTTGCTTGTGTAAATAAATGCTTGCATTTATTAATAGATCAAATCCAATTCACTGAGTATGTTCACTTTTTGTGTGTCATTTATTTTTGCATAAAGAAGATATTTGTTCCGAAAATGGAAGATCCAATGGTAAATAAATTTCCTTATGACTTTTGTTATAAGAGGATGTGAATCATTACAGTAGACAGGTGGTCATAATGTTATGGCTGATTGGTGCATACGCTTATGAAAAAAAAAAAAATGCCCCCTTTGTATTTCTAGGAGTTTCTGTGTCAAATAATCTGGAGTCTTCCAGGTTGTTCAGCCGTGATCAAATATTTATTGATGAAAAGCTTCATTTTATTTGATCTGAATCAGTTCAGAGGAGATTTACTGTTTTGTTAGTAAAGTCTTTATTTGATTATTGCAGGAGTTGTGGAGAGTTTGTGGGCAACCTGGTTATTAATAAATGTATCGATTTTTAAATCTTTCATCTAGAAGCACCAAGTGCTGAAGCTCAAAACCTGCTTAACTGCAGCTGACCAGTCTGACAAGCTTCTAGTAAAAAAAATCCAGTGCATCTTGAGATCTTCTCCATGTGGGTTTTGATGCTAAACCTCCTCAGCTTCACACAAAAACTAACATTTCTGATTCAATCCAGAGCCTCCTAGATGAGAATTAACAGGATCATTTAAGCCTGATTTAGCCGAGGAAGAGGAGCCGACTCTTCAGCCCGACCTGTCCTTCGCCGTCGTCACTGTGTAGAGGTCGTCCCGACGCTGAGACGTGATGGGGATCTGCTGCCGGATGTCGGCCAGACACTGCAGGTCTGGAGTCAGGTGACACAAGCAGAAGGTTTGGAGTCACAACAAACTGAGTGTAAACAAAGAAAACGGGSCACTCCAGTCCTGCATCATCATCATCACTGTTATTTTGATCAACATTATTTTGTTCTGCCTTACTGCTTTCTGCCATCCATAAAAAAATTACCTTTTTAATTGTTTTCCGGTTTGGAGAGACACAAATGTTTTTGTTTTTAATATTATTACCGTCACTGAGGCTTATGGGTGCTAAGTACCAAATAACAACATGAAGTGTCTGAGGTGCAGCTTTCATTACTTCAGGAGAGTCAACAACAGCAACAGCACTCATTCAACTTCCTTCAGTCCTTCACAATAAGACTCTGAAACAATGAAATAATCTGAGCTTCATCTGCTTCATTCACAAAGCCCTTACATATTGAACTCTGTGTCTCCYACATGTTCCGGTGTCTGTGCTGGTGCAGTTTGTCAACTTTTAAACAAACTAGCAAACATTATTCAGAGCATGTTTCAAATGTCAAGGCKTGCGGGCCAAATGTGGTCCCTCACTCATTTTATGTGGCCCYGGAGAGCTTCAGAGCATATGCTGCTTTAAAGCCAGCATTGACCATAAACTCATCTCCCATAATGCATGCTGATTATTTTATCAGCCAAACAATAGCATCTCARCACCAGGTGGAGGTGCACAGGTTTCAAAAGTAGCTGGCACAATGCCATGTAAAATCTACAATTAGATGCATTTTCATCAGCTAGTTTTGCTGCAGCCCAGTTGTAGTGGGAATTGGGAATTTCCCACTTACAAAAGGTGGTTGTGGAAGAGTGGTTAGGGGAGTTGTCCTAGAACCGGTTGGTTGTCGGTTTYATCCCCAATTCCAGCTGCCTCAGTTGTTGTGTACTTGGGCCTCTGATTTGTCCCATCAGTGTATGAATGAGTTAAAGCCCTGATTAGTCTCCATAAATGATTGTACATGTTAGCTTTGCACTGTGTAGATGGGTAAATGAGGACACAGATTGTAGTGTGAAGCGCTTTGAGTGTCCTGGTTGAATAGAAGTTGCTATATAAGTACAGTCCATTTACCATTTACAAGTCGTAAATTTAAAATGGAACGCCCCTAAGTGGGAATTTCCTGTCAGAACTTGGGAGAATTCAGAATTCAACATAGCAGCTTCTTCTTTTACTTCTAATAGTATTTCTGTAATATTTACTTCACATTTATTCAGTCAAACACGTAGCACWTTTCAGTGTTTATAAGAGGAAAACARTGTTTCTATGCAAGAAATACCAGGAAAAGCTCAGTTAGTGTTTGTTAGTGGTGCTCAGTCAGAGCAATGAGATGAGGAACGTGATGTTTTGTGTTTAGTCAAAGTTAAACATGAAACGTTGATGCTAATTACAACTGGCCCTTTGAGGAACATCATGATGATCAGGTGGTCCTCAGTAAAAACAGGGTTACTACAGCTTGTTAAATTTAAGACTTTTAAGACTTCTTTAGTATGGAGAGCAGTTTTATTCAAAATACAATAAATAAATAAAAATGAAATAAATAAATAAATAATGTAATTAATAAAGTATTAATAAATATTCCATAAAATACATAAATGTCCCCATGGAAAAAAAAAAACAAAATTAATATATTATAAT